TCCCGAGACTTGGTACAATGCTCCCGGGAGTCTTAACACAATTCTTTGCATTCTTCTCTTAAAAGCTGTCATCAATGGAAAAGGACTTGGCCACGATAGAAGGAAGGACACTGGCAAACATACTTGATTTTCTGTCCAAAGAGCTGGTGAGGCTGCAACAAGAACGGAAGATCCATGCTATGGTCATGCTGGCTGAGAGGCAGAGGCGGATGCGGGAAGCAGAGGAGAGCGGACGTCGTCAGGTGGAAGAGAGGCGGCGTCAGGAGGAAGATGAGATTTTCAGACAGGCAAGTGAGGGAGACTGGTGGGACTGTGGGCAGTTTGTGGGAGCTGCCTCCTTGTGAGGAGGTCCAGATGGATGGGAGCTGCTTCAGCTCCGACTTTGGTGATGGCCAGTTTTAAAGGCTTAGTGAAGAGAGGGTGATTCCTTCCTAAAGAGTCACACCCATTAAAGGATGATCTGAGTACTGCTATAGACAGTCCTGTTAGACATGTCATGAATGGATGTAGTTTCTAAATTTCTACAACAAACACCTGTGGAGAACATATGTACCTAGATCATCTTTAGAAATAATGTTTTGTCAGCACTTGATCTGCCCAGCAGAACTATTAGGTGCTTTCCCAGGAAGGATGCCTTTAAGCAAAGGTTTGGAAAGATTTTGCAACACCCCACCAAATGGACTGCAAATAATGAGTTTGAAGTAATGATAATGGATAGCATAAGCTTGAAATCTAGAAAAAAAGTACTGAATTACCATATTCCATAACTCTTCTATAATCCTATTCCCTAGCTCTTGACTGCATAGAGCATATTTCTCCTGGTTGAAAGGCATGAGTGGGAGTCTAATTGACTAAACCAATAATTTTCAAACTTCGTGGGAGGTGGTTAATACCAAAAGAGTCTGGCATCATGTTTATTTTTCTTTTAATTTTAGCTTCTCCTCTTATCTTTTCTCTGTTTCTGAGTGGGAAGCAGGTAGGGTCAAAGTGCCATAAGCTTATGCCCTTCAGACTAGCAGAAGGAAAACATCCATATCTAGAATCTCTGCTCTACAACTCTCATAAGGAAAACAATAATTCTATCTTGGTTTTTGACTGGTTTGATGGAACCCTTTCCTTCCATTCCAGCTTCAATGAAAACTGATTAATTTACTGAAGTCAATACCAATGATTATTATTTGGCAATTGTTGCTCAGGGGACTGTGAGAACTGAGGAAACAACTGCCATTGCATTCACAGAACTAACCTGCTGCAGATAAGTTTTTCTTCCACCTCTCGTTCTTTCCTGCACTTGTTTCTGTTCTATTAGTTCTCAGAAAACATTACTAGAAAATAAATCTTTACAGAAAGCATCTCTGAAAATAAATCCCAGGTTGGTCTGCCTGAAATTAAGTCTTGTTAAAGTCTATTATTTGTGCTTCTCTGGAAGTCTTCTTTCACTATGCTCCTGGCACAGCAATAGGCAGTGGAACAATATTTTGGTGTTTTCTTCCAGGTGGTGAAGGTGCAGCACAGAACCATTGACACCTACTTGGAAGACATTATCCTGAGCAGCATGGAGAGGGCAGCTGAAGAACAAGCCAGGGAGGAGGTTCAGAGAAGGGCTGTAGAAATCAATGACATTGCTTATGAGCTGGAAAGTCGGTATGTTATTAAATGGCACGTTAGAGGCTCTTCACAGCAGTTTAGAGACTGCCTGACCATCTGCATCTGTGGTTCTGTGTATCATCCAAGACATGGGAAGGGCAGAGCAGTGCTGTTCGTGCACGCTTCATTACTGTGGCTGCTGTACAGGAACCACACTGTTACTACCTGGTACACACATCTAAATCCATCAAAGCTTCACTTCCATACAGCATGTGCCAGATTCCCCTTGCAAATCGCTTGTGCAATCTGTGAATCACCCTTTTTAGATTTCTCCATGCCAATGGGAGGCTGTGACTGAGCTTTAAGTGAATCTGGGAACTGCCTAAAGCAATACCCATTCATGGCGATCTTTTCCTTTATTTATACTACGACAGAAAATCCATTTGAAAGAGATGCTAAAAGATACAGCTATACAACAGCCTTTCATTCTGGGGTGGCTGTTCTTTAAGAAACTGCCAATTTCCATGGAGGTCAGTCATATTGATGGCTGCCTGACAAGGCACTTTGAGTAAAGTAAGTTGTTGAGAACACCACAGTCTTGTGTTTGGCTGGGGCAGTGAATACTTTTTAGGACTTGCCAAATCTCCAGTTCAGTTTCTATGCTCTTTTTTTGGAATTGAGCCATAAAAATCCCAATGACAGTGACTCTCCTACGGTACAGCAGCTGTGTATTTTGTATCTAGATGAATACAACCAGAATGTTGGAATCCTTGGGGAGAATGAAGCGTAGATAATGCATGCAGCCCCTGGGCCAACTGGGAACCCACCACACACTGGCATGGAAAAGAGCATGGGGACCAGCCAAGTGCAGAGTCACAAAAGGGAAGAATTTAGCAAACTCAGCAATAGGGCAAAGACTAAACTGACAAAGATGCAAATGTTCAGAGATATCTGTGTGCCTAACTTTGTTTGTCATCAGTGAAAGTGGAGCGCCTAGATATCTTTGGGGATAGGAAGTCTAGGGTGATCCTCTTCCTGCTTTCCAGTGCAGTATTGAAAACACTGGCAGTGCAGCATAAAGGGGAATAGTCAAACTGTCACCTATTTGTAGGATAAAGAGAGACCCAGCTGACAATTACTGCCAGGACAATGCACTCCCTTGGAAATAGTGAGAATGTTTTCAAGGGAGTCTTGTGTTTGCAGAGGTGATCTGGAGAGAAAATTCTAATACCATTGTGCATCTGTTGTGTAGTCGAACTCGCCTGCAGTCCGAAGAGATTGTAGCAGAGCTGGTTTATGATTTCCTGATTCCAGAAGCTGAGAAAAGCGCTATGAGAGAAAGAGGTAAGGAGTCCAGTAGCTTTATTCTCTTTGTGAACTGGTTCACTCTCCTCATTCTAGCTCTGTGCAAGGAAAGATGCAGTGCCAAGAGTTGTCTCAGGTCTCTGAGATTCCATTTTTCCATATGCAGGTGGAAAGTTAAGCCCTTTGACACTTTTTTCATCAATTTCTCACAAACTTTAGTCTTTTTAAGTGGTGACCAGATTTCAAGCCGTCTATAAGATCTGGACTGTGCTTTTGCCAAGAAAGTTTGGGACAGACGATCACTGAGATCCCTTCCCACCTATTATTCTGTGATAAATTTGATGTATCTGCAGCAATAAAACTGCATGAAAAGAAGCAGGCCATTGCACCTTCAAAAAAAACCGCCTGGAAGATGTCTTTAAGTAGCACAACTGTGAACTGTCTATTATATGGCAATTTCTGAAAACTGTGGACATCTTTAACAAGAGATACTCAAACATATGCCATATGTAGAAGGGGGGTTATACACTATAATAGGAGTTATATACTCCTGTGATTCCCCCTCCTCCCCAGTTGGTTGAGAGCTAGAAGCAAAGATAAAGTTTTAGGGTCGGTAAGTAGATAATCTTGCAGTTATAAAGGATGCTTCCAACCCATGTCTTACAGTAGTTAATTATAATGAATAAATCTTAACTGGGACGTTTCCACTGACCAGCACACTCAGAAGGCCGTGACTAAACCAGTCACCCATGGAAAGTGGATCTGACCTAAGGAAAGCAATGGTATCACAATAGAGCCTGACGTGGTCCTTGCCGCAGTGCACTTCTCTGACTTGAGAACAAAGGCACTTACTTCACTGCCTTTTTTGTTGCTTTGTGAATGAAAACACAACCCCCCGATACACATTTTGTGGCATCTGAATTGTGCAGACTTTCTTCTGCCTAGTCTGTGTGATTGCCTCAGCAACAGTACCTGTTCAGCAATTCTGCATAAGCTTAAATCAGCTCCCTTCTCTCTAGCACTGCTTCTGCCAGCCTTCCGAAGCAGGTGATGTAATGTTAGTCAGTGAAGCCTGCAGCTGAGGCACTAACACACACAGGTTAGTCTGTCTCAGAAAGGAGAACAGAAAGAAGACCTGGAGATGGCCTAGGATTCTGGACACACAGAAGACATACATCAAGGAACAAAATTCATACTGAGCTTAAATGCAACAGCAGTTAATGAACAAAGCACCTCAGAAGCACTCCCAAGCAACACGCAAAAAGAATCTTCAAAATCTATGAGAGCTACAGTGGATTTGCCAAGAAAGCAGAGCTAGACCCGGACAAAAATAAAGTGGATTCTGGTGGAATAGAGCAATAGGTGATAAAGCACAAGGGTTCCTTTAAATGTGATCACGTGAAATTTGTCACAATATTCTTCTGACAGTAGAAATCACATATCAGGAAGACACCTGGCTCATACTCTCTCCTGCTATTGTTGCATGGGGTGGAGGGCACTCCACACCCTCAAGAGACAATTGAATTCTATCAGATGTACACTCTGATGAACACACCCTGCTTAAACCTCCTGCACAGGGATACTTTCAGGGAAGCAGAGTCATTAACTGTTCCTTGTAAATACAGAGGAAATAATATCAAAGAATGGCATTAGGTCTTGTAGGCACATTAGTATATTGCATTTCTGTGGTGGCTTTTAAAGCTTTCCCTGTAGTGAGCCAAATTATTTATTAGGAAGCTGTTTTAGCAACCTGGCCCATAGTTGAGCATTCACCTTCCTTGAAACTATCAGGAAGCGATCTGAGAGCACAGTTGTCTGGGCTGTCAAAAGAGCAAATCCATTTTTAGAACAAAGATTTGAGGGCCTGCAATTTCAGTCTTTGCCTACACTTTAGCTTTCCCTTAAATATCTCTATTTTGCCATTATCTACTTGTTAAGGTTTTTTTTTTTCTCCTCTTTTTGTCACATTTTGATGCATGAAAGCAGAGATTATCCAATATTGGCTCATCCTTATACTTCTCTACACCTCTCTTCTGAACCCTGCCTCACTGAAAGCAGCAGTCGCTCTGGTAATATGAAAAAACTTGCTTTGAAAGGGACAAACTCACCAGTTTGAGCCTGTTTTCTTTTGGATGGAATTCACTGTGGATAGAGGAAGGGACTGCAGCAATACCAGGAGGTATTGCCAGTATAGCTGATGCAGTTCATGCAAACAAGGTTCAAGCCAAAATGCCTTGGGTAGAGAAACCTCTCCTGGGAATTGAGAGCTGGCTGCTGAAGGTCAGCTGTTCAAATGCAAGTGAGATCCAATTGCATTCATTGTTGACAAAATGGACCTGAGAGATGGAGAAACATAAACAGGGTGGGTTAGTAACATGTAGTGACTGAGATAGGGACAACATGCAGGACACCAGTGCTTCAGATTCACAGTTAAAGTACAGCTCAGCTTTACAACAGACCAAAGCAAGTCTTGGACTTTCACAGGAAAGTGAACAATGAGAAGCACAGCTTGTTCCTGCGACATTCCCCACACTCCCTAAAAGCAGGCAGTATTTCAATCCCCATGATTGAAATAAAGAGAGAAAGAGGGAGCAAACAACAGTGGAGAGCAACGAAGAGAACTGTAGGGTAAATGCTTAGACTTGGGTAATTACTTCCCAGGAGGCAGTTTAGAAATACATATAAACGACTTTGGATGAAAAAAGTAAGGCCAATCCTGCAATCCTGCAGTAGCTGAGGGGAGATGATAAGGTGGGTGACTTAGTGTCGAGTCTTACTTTGAACTCAGTAACAGTTTCTCAGTGCAGGCTGAATCATAGCACAGGAGAAGGCAGATTTCAGCTGGAGTTTTGCAGAGGCCTGCTGCAATTAACAGACACTGAAGGAGAAGTTATTTTAAAGCCACATAATATATCCTGGGCAGTTGTGCCCAAAGGTGGAAAGGAAAACACTTGGGCCGTGCTTCCCACTGTGGGGGCTAGTCTTCAAAGGGAAATGCAAAGTTGGTTGCTGCTATTAGGTGGCAGTAGAACACTTTCAGCCAAAGTTAGAGGGGCATGATTTTTTTTTCCTGAGATAGACTTTTCCACAGCTGCAGGATTGCTAAAACTATGCCTCCCTTCTCCCCTGCAGAGAACACTTTGCTGTACAGTTCCAAGTAAAAACCTTACCTCTTTTTATGTGCAGTGAGGCAGTCCCAAAGAAAACACATCTATGCTGCTCATCAGATCATCCACGGGGGCACAGAAGGGGTTTTGGCTGATCCGGCGCTGCATCGGGAGACATCTGCCAGCAGGATAGAGGGAGATCATCCTGCTGGGACAGCCAGCACTGCTCCAAGTGGGACAGCTGCTGGACCAGGAGCAGCTGCCACAGTTGCACGTGAACCAGATAAACTTCTGTGCAAAGAAAGTAAGGATCCCACAGCCTCCTAGAGATAGAATATGAATGAGGTGAGTTTCCCTTCCCCTCTGTGATTTGAGCTCAGAGCATGGTGAAAGAGAGGGAAGCACATTGTATCTACTTTTTCAGAGCACCCAGAATGGAAAATCCTCTCTCTCCCTTGGGCTGTCCTTCCTGATGCCTGCCAGCAATGTTGTCCTGGAGCCACTCTGTATACATTTTGGTGTGGCAGCTCCCTCCACTCCCTCCCCAGCTTGCTTTGGACTTCATTAGCTAATTTTCCTCTTCTGATTATTAAGAGAAGCTTGACTGAGAAAGCAGTGTTAGCACTCTTTGTTTGTTTTCCTAGCACAGACCAATAAAAATCTGCACCTGGGCTTTTGATGGTATTTCCTTGCATCAATAACATTAAATGAGAAAATACTCCATCAGTGGAGATTCTGAGTTGAGACCATACTCAGTCAAGCACGTCCCACTGATTTCCTTAGTGGTGTAAGGCCGAGTGGCTTCCTGCGTTAGCACTGCTATTAATGAAGCATTGGAGGTGAATGAAAACGGTCAGATTTTGCATCATCTTTTCACGTAATTAGTCTTTGCATAAAGTGCCTTTGACCTCAGCAGGGTGGTTCCTGCCCAGCAGGCAGCGTCTGGCACTAACAGTTAAGGCTAGGTGATAGCTGAATGACATGGGCATAGAGGGACTGATGTATTTTCCAGAAATATTACTGTTTGGACTCACCTCTTCTTGCTTTTTATCATCCCGAAGGAGAACAATCTTGAGAGAATGTTATTTTTCTTAGAACAGTGTTAGTCACTCTGGCTTTTCAGCTCCAGGGGGCCACACAGAAAGGATGCTGGCTTTGCCGTGTTTGCAAGCATGGGGGTGCTCCTGCTGAGGATGTCAGGAAGCAGGAGGCTGCAGACAGGCACACTGCATCTGGTCAGAGAGCTCTCAGGGCTCGCTGAGCTCTTCAGCACTCACCTGTCCAAATTCCTGAGGTCTGTGGCTTTAGCACCTGAGAGGTACATTTGCACCAATACCAGTGTCAGATGCATGTTTTGGAGGAGCAGGCACCACACCCAAAATGCTTATTCATTGATGGCCACAGCTTACACGACAAACAGCAATATTAGCCCTCACTCCTAATGGGATAACTGGCTCATCTCTCCCTGCTTCCATCATTTCTCAGTGATGGATCCTTGTGCTGGGTCTGTAGAGTCCAGGTGGGCTCCAGCTAATCCTGACCATAGTTCTGCTCCTACAAAACACAAACCAGCAGATGGTCAAAAACTCAGGCTCATTAGTGCATTCCTGAAAAAATTTTGCATCAGGTTTTTGTTTTGTGAATTGGGCTGGGGCAGGGTACAGGGAAAGGAATTACAGGGAGGGGAGAGAATACCCTTGTATTACACTGGGCTGTAAATAGCAGCTGGAGAGAGGAAACTGAGAGCTGCACCAAACCATTGCTGGTCTTCAAGTCACTGAACCAGGGACACCAAGGGGCTGGTGAGGTCAGGCAACCTCTGTAAGTATTGCAGCTTCTGGCAGGTGTCAAAGATGGGTGATAAGTTTTGGTTAGGACTCTGTGAGGGTCATCCCATTAGGGACCATGGATTTGGGACACTTCTCATAGCACACATAGGGAGTCAGTAAAAGGGAAGGTTCCAAATGCAAAAATATAGAACGAAACACTCCACAGTGTGGGAGGAGAAGCTGTGCAGGGATCGGCTGTGTTGCCTCAGGCCACCTTGGACAAATTTAGCTTAGCTGAAAGGGGGTGGGGGGTGGATAACATGAATCACAAGATCCAGTGTAATAGGAGAGACATGGAAAACTTGATGCAGCAGAACAGTAGAACAGGAAGACCGATCCATTGAGGCATTTGCTGTATTTCTGAAGGTGATCTGTTGAGATAAACATTCTCCATGTAGCTCATTGTACAAGTTGACACAGTTTAAAAAAGTTAAGCGTTCCAACAGGTGTGGGAATGGACGGAGGTTTCAGCACTCCGGTGTTCTGTAGGGATGCAGCCCTCTGCATGACAACAAAGGGGCAGGGAACTCCAGACGCCGTGCACAGGCTGAGCTATAAATGTCTTGGCTTCTGTTATGATTTAAGGGACACCATCAGAGGAAAGCCATCTTTCCCACATGACATTGCTTAACATGTAAACTGAAGGCCACAGCAGGATTCCTGAAGGAAACTCTCCTGTAGGAACTGCTTTCAATTGTCATGTGTGGGGTTTTTTTTTCAAGCTTTGCAGAATGTACTTTGAGAAAGAAAATGAGCACAGTGAGAGGGAATTGGGATCATAAATCAACAGCATAAGAATGCACCATTCCCTCTCCTAGCAGGAGACAGAACAACCCTGGGGAGGAGCCCGTACCCGAAACAAACACAGCAGATGCCTTCAGGGCTGCACCAATACAGTGGAAACACAAGGAAAACTCAGCTTGTCCCGCTTTTCTTTCACCAGCTGCCCATGGGAAGGGAGCCTGGCTGTGCTGCTCTGCTGGCTTCTGCTTCCTGGCAGGTAGGGGAGACAGGCTGAACCAAACGGGCCTCTGGGGTCACTGCACTGTGAGAATGGTGAAAAATCAGCCTCTTTGCAGCAAATGAATGAATGCAAATTGTCTCAGGGCTTCCCTGCTGATATGGCTCTTGTGGTGTGGAAGGAGGAAATCCTATCATGCCAACTGCAGTTCTGCAAAAAGGACTTCCAGTAGGAGAGCTGGAAGCTGGGACACCTTTCTCACTGGACATGCACAGTATCTGCATTTCTGTCAATATAAAACCACACCAAGCCCACACTCTCCCACCTCTCCTGCCTCCCTTAAAAGCAACATGACCATCACAAAAGTTGCCATGGACCTGGACGCGGTGCTGGTAAATGAGTTCCTGCCACTTTCTGAGCACTGCTGTTCTCTCTGTTCCTGGTCTCACAAGCACAGAGGATCTGCCTGGTACTTCGTTGGGCTCGATTCAGCCCTCACACAAATTCTTTTTTGGGGGTGGGAAGGGGAGATCAATCCTGCAAGTATGGTTCTCACATGCCCAAGGCTTTTAACAAGGTCCAATTGCACTACTACTACGTCCCTCCTCCCAGTCCTGTCTCCCTGTTTCCACCATAATCCTGTTTTTGCAGCTTTCCCTGTGTTTTTATGATTGGTGAATCAGTATCTTCCTGGCATCCACCAGCCTCCTCACCACAATGCCCTCCTGAGTTGGGCTTGGGCTTGGAAGAGGTGCTGTTGTTTCCTATGCCTGCCCTCCACCCCACCAGAGAGTCAGGAATTGGTTTGAACATCTGTCAAAACTGCCAAATCCCTTAGACATAATGTGTAAACCTGGACTAGTAAATTCAGTCTTCCTGGATCCACCCTGGACTAGTAGAACTAGCAAGAAAAGCATCTCAGCAGACACTGTTTGCATGAGAAAGAAAATCCCCGAGGGCCGATGGGAAGGGCTGTGCTGACACCTGTGGAGGAGAGGCAGCTCTGGCTCTCTGCTCCAATCATATAATTCATTCCCCTTGATTTTCCTTTTTTTCCCCACACACTGTGTCACCCCACCTCTCATGGCTGGAGTCCAGGCCACTTCTCTTGGCCTCTTCCCATGCGCCACATCCCAGTGCTTCACTAGCACATAGAGAGGATGTCCTGTTCCCATGTCCTTCCTGGGCTGCTTACCTGCATCCACATGTGTTGCCTGGCTCAGCACACCATCCCCAGCAGCCCTGAGAGCTGTGACTGCTCCTGCCAACACTCACCGCTGTGGCTGCCCGCTGGTCTGTAGCTGGTTGGACCCTTTGCACAGCCCGGATGGCTGAGATTTGTCGCACCCAGTTTCCCCCAGTGGGGAACTTCCGTGGTGACCTGCACTCCTTGCCCATCCTGGAGCTCCTCAGTCAATGCCAGGCATGGGGCTGTTGGTCCTTTTCCGTGGGGCAGTGGCTGGAAGGATGTGGCGCTACCTCGATGCAAATTGCAGTGAGCGAGTGGCAGCTGCGCAGCAAGGACTCGATGCTACTGCTCCTGGTGACAACGTCAGCGCTGAGCGTGAGCAGCACCAGTGCCCTGAATACAGATGCAGAAAGAAGCCTGAAATATTTAACCAGTGCTCTTATGTAGCCCCTGAACTGAGAATGCACTGCATCTTCTCCTAAATACCCTTCTCGGCCAGCGGCCTCTCACTCACCCTTTGACATCACGAGCATTTGGAAAGCAGCTGCTCCCACCAGCATTGCAGGAGACTGAAAAGCTGCATTTGCTCCTCTCTCCTTCCGTTGCCACAGGACTGATCCTAAGAAAGAATCTCCCTTTTGTTTATTACTGAGCCAGTCATAGCCAGCCCTTCCCTGTAAAGCCTCCTGAAAACACCATGTTGGTTCCTTACCTGTTAAAGCCTTTCTGCACCTGCCAATGTAAGTTTTCTGTCTCCAGCCAAATGCAAACCATTTTTCATTACTGTGTGGGCCCCAAATCTGTTGTCTCCAGCAGAAACAGCTTCCACTGACCAACCTGTTCCTAGGCCTAGTGCCATAAAACAAAAGTCTCAAAAGAGGAATGAGGTGTAACTGAGATTGTCCAAAGACTCCGCAGCTGGAGTATTCACCCAGTATTCCAAAGGCTGCTAACAAACACCAGCATCCAAAACAACTTCCATGGAGTAAAAATGCTCCCAAACAACCTGGGTTTTGCCAGTAAGCACCAACTTCCTTCTGAACACTCTGGCCTGGCAAAAGATTTGGTTACAGCAGTGAGCTGCAAAAGGGAAGAGGAGGAGGGCATGGCTACTGTTATGCCATAGGAAACAATCATAGAATTGTTTAGG